CCCACCTGATTACAAAAATTTATTACTTTTATGATTGATTGACTGGCTTCCAATACATATTATATTCAATCAGCTGAAAATTATCTATCAAATTAAGCTAGGCTACATGAAGATAGAACCTCTGATCTTTTTGACGATCACAGGCTGAAACAGGTCGAAGTAGAAAATGTTACATGAGGCAAGGCTTCTGGTCTAACTCCAATATAAGTCCACAACCCCAACTGGAATGGCAGACTCCATATCATTATTCTTTCTATTCAGGTTGGCTAGTTTCCTAATTTATGTCATACTCAATCAGCTAGTACCTCAAAACTGGATCGGCAGACTCCGAAATTCAATTGAATCTCCACCTCCTTATTTGATGTTGGCGCAATCCAGATTGGTGATCCAATTGGGAGAGAATCAGATCATAAGTCAAAAAGGAGACTACTAGAAAGGTTTTTCACTATTGGTATAGGATTTTTCTTACCTTATATTTACAAGTAGGGAGTTATTAGCATAAACCAGAGTATGGACTTATCTACTTGGTGTAAGTTGGTATTCTGGTAAAAAGTCGCAATAGGCTAGAATTAAATTATATTTCATGTAAAAGATCTTTAATGTAATGGCTATAAACTCTTATTTAATAAAAAGTCTCATATTTAATGCTTATTTGCAAAAAAAATAAAAAAAAAAATTATACATGTATTGCACTTTAGCTCTTAAAAAATTTTAATAAGATAACTTAAAGTATATGTTTTAAATTATTAAAATTATTTTTAAATATTTTCTTTTTGATATATCAATATTAATTTAATTATTATTATTACTGTATTTAAAAAAGATATTAATTTAAATATTATTTAAATACTTTTGATTTGATTTTTTAAAGAAATAAATATTGATATTATCTAAAAGCACTATTTATATAATAGTTATAATTTTTTAAAATCATATAATATATATTTCTTTTATTTGCAAATCTTGTTTTCTAATTTTGATTAGTAACTTATATACAGATACATTGTATACATAAATCAAAGATTAAACAATTATAAGATATTATATAAACGTATTAAGTAAAGTTTAGAGATCATGTCACTTCATGGTTTTTGTCCCAAATGTAATCAGAAATTTTTGTCAGAGAAATGATGCATGTCATGTAATAGAAATCATTTTCAACAAGATTTTGGTAAATGGACAAGTGGAAATAAAAAAATTGATGAATTTATACAAAATTCTCAGCTTCAATTCAAGTATAATGCTGAAGTATTAGAATGAATACCATATACACAATTTCAAAATGTCAAATATATCACTAAAGGAGGATATGGCACTGTGTATTTTGTGACATGGAAAGATGATTGTATTAAAAAATGTGATGTTCTCAATAAGAAATAAGTTAGATATAGTGTATTCTCTATAGCATTAAAAAGCTTAGATAAGCTTAGCTTAATTGATGAACTTATAAATGAGGTAAAGGATATTAAACTTCATTTAAATATAGTTTTATTATTAATATAATTTTATTTTAAATTTTAAATTAAGAAACATTTTATCCTGTAGAATAATTTGATTGTTAGATGCTATGGAATTATACAACTACCAAAGTCATTATGTTACATAATAGTTTTTAGTTTTCAAGAGAATAGGAGTCTCAGGAATTACTTGGACCAAAGTTTTTACAAGATGGATTTGAAATTAAAATTAAAATCATTGAGAAATATTTTATGGGGTTTAATTAATATGCATGAAAAGAATTTAGTTCATAGAGACCTTCATCCTGGAAATATTTTATATAGTAGTGGTTTGTCTTTGCACATCATGGATCTAGGCCTTTGTAAAATATTTTCAGAAAAAAAAGCCTCGACTCATCAAGAAATTTATGGAGTTCTTCCATACATTGCACCCGAAGTCTTGAGTGGTCATGCTTACATACTGGCAGCAGATATTTATTCATTTGGAATTGTAGCATATGAAATGATTACAGAATTTTCTCCATACTATAATATTTCTTATGATTAAGATCTTGCTGTACAAATCTGTCAAGGCTTACATCCAAAAATTCTATTCAAGATGAATAAATTTTTAGTAAGATTAATAATGCAATATTGGGATGTGAGGCCATCGAATAGACCCAAAGCTATAGAAATATGTATAACTATAAATAAATTGATGGATTTTAAGGAACTAGTTAAAGATTACAAAAGTGAAGTTTCAGAAGAATCATCAAATAGCAACTCTTCAGGACTTAATTACAAAATACACCCAAATGCTATTTATACTGGCAAACTTTTGAATTTTTCAAACTTATCACAACTAACTAATGCCCTGATTCTGAGAAAGTATTTGAAAATTTGTTGAATGATAATGCAGGTGAATGTAGTATTTATAGTATAACGTTTATTTCTTTCTAAATTTTATTAAAAATTTTTAAATTTTAAAACTTGATACAGACTCAAGTTTAGTTAAATTGAAAATTCAGCCTAATATATTTGATTAATACATTCTCTTATCAAAAATTACTGAATGTTAATTAAATTACCCAGTAAAATATATTAAAAATCAAGATTTTCGTTCTATATTAAAGTTTTTAATTTTATTAACAAAGATTTATAAATAATACATAAAAACAAAGTCATTCAATTATAATTTGATATATATTTAATACAGAATTTTTTGAGCTTTCTATATATATTATTTATAAAATTTAATTGATATATTTAAAATTAATTATATAAGTATTAAAAAATTAAAAAAAGTAATATTTTAATAAAAAAACAAATTAAAATTTAGAAAAATAATATTTTATAAATTTTATTAAAAATAATAAAAAATATTTGTATTTTAAAAACACTTGTTGAATATTAATATAAATTATTATATATATAAGTAGATTTAAAATACTATATTCAATAAAATAAAAGTTTTAAAAAGTATATATTTATTAAATTATATAGAATTGATAAGAATATAGTATTTGAAGTTTTTAATTAATTTTAATTTCATGTAAAATTTACAAATTTATTTTAAGTAATGATTAAATATTTTATTTTAAGTTATTGTATTTTAAAATTTAAATAAAAATATTGATACTTGAAAATTTTTAATTAATTTCAATTCTTTAAATAAAACTCTATTTTTATTACAATATTATATAATGATAATTTTAAAATATCTTGTTATTTTTTTATATAATCAAATTGGATAGCATGTGAAATAAATAAATTCGTTATTGTTGTTTTAAGAAATTTCTTATCATGAGTAAACAAAAAGATTAATATCTTTGAAATACTGTAAACAAAATCCAAATTCATTTGTTTCATTCGTCAGGAATTTTATCTTTATAAACTTGTGACATATTACAATATTTAATCCATTCTTTAAAATTATAATTTGTATTATGTAGTATGTACTATTAAACAATAACTTTATATAGTTTATAGTGAATTTAAGATTTAGTATGCAATTTTTTATACATATGCTTGATTTTTGCAATTTGCATATGCTTATATGAATATTACAAAATCATTGACATATACTATATACTGTATCCTCAGAGTCGCATGCAGACCGACACTAATGTCCTCCATCACATTATTATACGAATATATCACCAATATATTTTGTAAATTGATATTAATATCAATCAATGTCTGCGAATCAGCTATTGCATATACAGAAGTTAGAATTGCTTTAATTATTGCTTTACCTTCTCATACCTGTGAATCTGGAATTATATCCTCTGCCTGCAAATCCAATTGCACATCTTAAAAATCTAATAAAACACATACATTAATAGAATTATTTATTTTAGCATAAATTAATACCATATAGTGAATTGCATAGAAATTATGAAACTTCTTTTGTCTTTTAATACATGTGAAACACTCGACTTTGGATTGGTAAGTAATATTGATCTGTTTAGTCCGCAGGTGTCATTCAAATCTATATTGGTAATTGTCGAACTAATCAATCCACCTTCAGGAATAATACTGTATATACTTCAATATTTCGCAAATGATGGAAAATTTCCATGTAATAAGGCGAGATGAAAATGCGACTAGGAAACAAAGAGAATTTGATTTTTCATGTCTGTCCCAGTGGTAATCACCAATTGTATTAAGTGGGGAAGACTTTAATCTTGCTAAATTTCAAAAAGTGGATTTACAATAAATAAATCATGATGGAATATTTATCACCTGTAGAAAACTCATTAGTTTAATGTATCAGGCGTTTCAAGAACAAAAAAGGTGGTTATGTACGAATAAAAAAAAGTATTAGCGGAATTCATAAATATACTAGTGTCCATTCCTAACCTCCAAAGTAAGTCGTGTGTCAATCACATAAATGGAACAAAACAACCCGTAATCGTGGCCTATCTAGGCGAATCATACAGAAACCAATCGACGGAAAGATTGTTCGAATTTGAGACTCCACTGCTCTTGCAGTTTGTACACTTAAAATTTCAGGAACCCATATTTAGCATGTTGTAGTGGAAAAAGAAATTATACCGGTGGATGACGTTGAATGTATTATGAAGATTACATAGAATAAGATACTAGTGAAAAATGGAGAGAAATAAAGCTTGAAGAATTCTAGAGGATCATTGCACTTGGGATAGCTACGAGTTGAAAAATTTATATTCATCGGTTAGTAGCATTAGATGGTAAACAATAAAATGAGGTAAACATGAGTGCAATAATCTTACTCAACCATGTTTCCACGTTACATGAAGACATCTCCACAAAGCAAATTTCTATTGACTCTATCATGAAGAGAGGATGAAATTTCCATTAGAAGTGGTGGTTCACTCATAATATAAGGATTGGTTTTTGTCATCTCTTCCTATTTTTGATTCGTGAACGTGGGGTACAGACATGACCAATAAAGCAACATGATAGACGATAAAGCTCTAAATCAATTATTGTGCTAATCAAATGTTATATTTTTCAGAACATTTACAAGGGTTCTCATATTTTTAATCCTCTCTCTCCGCCTTTTTGAACATCTTTCTCATACTATCGGAATCTGTCGATTACATTAACACGACCAACCTTCCTAAAAAACAGAAACAAATTGTGAGATACACGAAATAGAGTAATCGATATTTTGCGTGTGGCATACTTTCACCGTTGTTCGCGCTTCAATTCTATTGAAATATTTTGAGTTTTAGGACTCGATGGTATCTCTGTTATATTTTCGATTCGAACTACGTTTTTACTCTTGAAGCGTGGCTCTTGATTATTTAACAGCTGGAGTTGCAGAAGCGCACTTTTCAAGTTATGACTTAATTTCCGTTGGGCATTTAAAGAAATATGAACACCGGTATGGAGGGGAATGGTAATGGGAGAGGCTTCTCCAACTGCCTCCTTTCATTCACTCTAATCATCTTCTGCTCTCGTTCCACAAGACCAAATTCTATAACAAAATATGTTTGACATCTCAGTCGTGTTATTTGATGAACCTCTGTTTTCCCTTCTTCTGCAATGACAAGTTCAACAAGAACTTAAGTAACGAGTTATTATGAAGATCAAAGAATTATTGCCTTTTCAATTTCTAACTCAAGTACATTTAATTCTAATTCTACTCTTTTTGATGTGATTTGATCCCGTTTATTCTACATTTCTTTGTTTTCTTCGTTCATTGCAATTTTTATATGAAAAACACAGTAACACGGTAATTAATGATATAAAAGGTTTAATAAATGCGCTTTTCGGACATCGGATGGAAAAGAAATTCACAAAAGCCACGGACGCGCTGGCCCTCCCCCGTGACACGCGGGCCCACGGGTTTAGCTTAAGGAAGTATTCCTTGTTCGGACACGCAAACATTTCCATGGTCACGCACGCGCGGGCGCTACCCGTCAGTTTTACACCTTTTCAACACGTGGGCTGCTGGAGTCCACCCGTTGAGTACGTGAAATTACCATAAACTATACTTTCTTCCAATTCGTCCACTAATCTACAGGCTTTTTCCTATAAGCAGGATGTGTAGTGTCTACGTATATTTGTTCCAGAATCCTTAACTCACAAGACAAGGCCAGGTGAGTTATGCTTTTTTGCTGAATGTGAGTTCATTAACTTGCGAAATATAAATAGCGAGTACTTTTGACCTGCGTATAAATAGTAACAATTTTCTGACCACGTGTTTTGTTTAAATTTTCCGGTCTGAAATCTGATTTACGTTTCCACGGTCAGTTATCTCGGAAGGATGGAAAACGTTTTGTCAACGGGTTTGCGAAAATTCTTGAGCTTTTGTCATTGATTTTCATAAGGTTTTTGTCTTACTGGAACATTTGCTTTATACAAATAAAGATATCAAAGACCAGGTTTTCGAAAGCATTCACCATATCCTGAATAACAATGTCGACAATCCAGAAGCCTTGGAATTTTTGTTTGTGAGTCATTTTTCAACGTTAGAAACAAATCGAAGAGTTGTGACTGAATGCAATAAGTAGTTTTAATATGAACCGTGTAATTTTCTCCCGCCATAAACGCGTAATAGTTACCACCGGGCTTAAACGAGCCTTTATCACGTGAGGATGTACATCGGGAACTAAGTGAACGATTTCTGACGCCTGGCACGTCATTCCCTGTTTCTTGGCTTTCCAAGTGCCAACAGTTAGTGTTCAATAGCATATTTCAATTGATTATAATAATACGTTGTGCGATGTTTCAAGATATCATTTTATCATAAAAGATATTGGGAGCGGGATCCAGATTTTCTATCACTTACTTCCTTGGAGCCTTCAAAATCACGAGTCTCACTAGAAATTATAAGAGAAAAACCGGGTGGGATTATCACTGGTTACAGAGAGGCATGAAGCATTTAACTATTTGTCGACATAGTTTTCATACTGTATATTGCTTTATAGTAAACGGTTGATGATAATTAATAGGTAGTGGTTGGAGAATCGAAACTGACTCCTCAAAATTCAACATCATTTCTGCGCGAACCGGGGGCCCGTAATGACTTTGTAAGAGGAAATTCGAATTACTATCCTTTTGCTCCTGGTAAATTAATTGATCACTTACTTACCAAGTAATTATGAAATATCAATTGATTGTAAGGTTAATATATATTTCATATATACTTTTCAGGTGGTTTGGAATCTGAAGTCCTGATTGACTTGGAAGACGGAGTTTCGAAGGATCTTGATAATGCCTTAAATTTTGATGAAGGTTTTCTATTAGTTTAATGCGTAAAACGTCCTTGAACGTCACCAAGTTCATGTTCACCTTATAAATGTTTATCATTATATACAAGATGAAATTCTTTCGGTGCCGCCGGGGTTCGAACGTGGCTTGATTTTTGAAGGTTTGCTATCTTGTGAGCTCTTCATATTTTAATTCATAGTAAAATTTTATTTTCGCCAATTTAGATGAGTCAGCTAAAGAAAGAAATGCAAATCAGAAGAAAGCCGTGGCGGGATTAAATATTACAGACATGATAATCCATGACGATGAGGAACTCGCCGAGTTATTTGAACTTAATGACGCTGATATAAAAGAACAAGACTCCGAGGTTTGTTTCAAGCATTTATGTAAAAAATTATATACTTAAAAGACACATACTATATACATTGAACGTTCATGACACGTAATTCCTATTCATTGCAATTAGTTTGTACCAGCTGATGATGAGGAAGATTTAGAAACTACTCAATCACAACCTTTTGAGGGTGATGTGGAAGATGCAGTTGATAGCTTGTTACCGGTTCAGGTATCTATTTAGACGAGTTGATTATTTAATTTTATGAGCGATTATCATTAAGGGTACTTTCTTTTTCTCGACAGTTACCTTCCCTCGAGAATGCAAAAGTGACCAATAAACCAAATGATAATGATGACCAGAAAGGAGATTGGGCTCATGTTATTGATATAAACGCAGACATCTCTAACTTTAGAGAGTTAGTTCCCGAATTGGCTCGTGAGGTACAGCTGTTATTTTCAAGAGACTTCCTCATTTCATCTTCTTACAAACATTTTTATTTTTTAGTATACATTTACGCTGGATTCTTTTCAAAAGCATGCCATATATCATATAGAAAAAGGAGATTCCGTTTTCGTGGCGGCTCATACATCAGCAGGAAAAACTGTGGTAGCTGAGTATGCCATTGCTTTATCGACCAAGCACGAAACGCGGTAATGTTCGGTTTTGAGCCTTTTTTGGTGTATGTTAGAATAACGATATTTAATTACTCTGACCTTCTCCTTCAATAGGGCAATTTATACGTCTCCAATCAAGGCTCTATCTAATCAAAAATTCAAGGATTTCAGGAAAGAGTTTGGCGACGTTGGTATTCTTACCGGCGACATACAAATAAACCCTGAAGCTTCGTGTTTGATTATGACCACCGAGATTTTAAGGTCGATGTTGTATAGGGGAGCCGATTTAATTAGAGATGTCGAGTTTGTGATATTTGATGAGGTTCACTATGTTAATAATGCAGAGGTAGGAGAGACGCCGACATTTCTTCTTTTAATCGCAATCACAATGAACATCAAATGGATTTACTTGTGCGATTCAGCGTGGTGTAGTCTGGGAAGAAGTTTTAATCATGCTTCCCAAAAATGTCAAGCTTATTCTCTTATCAGCCACCGTTCCAAATACTAAGGAGTTTGCTGATTGGATTGGGTATGCAGTAACGTGATACTTAATACTTTTAAATATAACCTAATCGAATTCTAAATACAGTCGAACAAAGAAAACACACATCTATGTAATCAGTACACCAAGACGTCCTATACCACTAGAACATTACTTATACGTGGATAAGGAAATTTATAAGATCGTGGACGAAAAAAAAACGTTTTTGAACGCGGGGTATGTTTTTTTACAATATCTCTTGAGTGATAAATTTTGCAGATCTCTTATTTACTGGTTGTACATTACAGTTGGAAGCAGGTCAAGGGAGCTCTAGCAAAGGCAACGAAAGGACGCAGCAAAGGTCGTCAGCCCTCTCATAGGGTAATAAATTGAGAATTTTTCTGATCATTCTTTTTTTTTTAGAAATGCTTAAGTCGGTGGTTACAATCTAGTTTTATATAGGGCCCCATTCATTACCCACCAGGCTATTTTGTTGGTCTTGTTGGTTTTCTTGAAAAGAAAGAATATCTGCCCGCGATTCTTTTCACTTTTTCTAAACTAAAATGCGAAGAATATGCACATGGGATAAAGGATCTAACCAGCAAAGAAGATAAGAGTAAAATTCTTACATTTATTAATAAGAGTCTGACACGGCTAAAAGGTAATTGACACTAAAGTTTTGATGTGTAAGACTCTCTCTCTTAGATATTTTCACTGATCTTTTGCTTGCCGTGATTAAGGAACCGACAGAGAATTACCTCAGGTGAAGAGAATTAGTGAGCTGTTAATAAAAGGTGTCGCCGTACATCACGGAGGATTGCTTCCAACTGTGAAAGAGGTAAAGTTTCAACATTCCTTGTTACATTGATATCATATGCTCGTGGTATTTATGAAGAAAATTATTTGTAGATAGTTGAACACCTATTTGAAAAAAAATTGGTGAAGGTCCTTTTTGCGACAGAAACTTTTGCCATGGTTTGTTTAGTTTGCTGATTTAATAATGTTATTTCTTTTCGATAAAGATGTTTGAACTTCAGTATATACACTTCATATATTTTTTAAGGGAATAAATATGCCTGCACGCACAGTGGTTTTTACAGGGATTACAAAGAATGATGGGAAGAGGCGTCGAGAACTAAATCCAAGTGGGTTCTCGGGCTACTTTTATCACATTATTTCCTCATTTCTTAATATACTTCCCACCATCTTTCAGGTGAATACACGCAAATGTCTGGTCGTGCAGGTCGTAGAGGTACCGACAAAACAGGAATCGTGATAATAACTTTTCCTCCGGAAGATGTTCCCGAGGTAAGGAAAAGGTGAAATTGGTTACAAATGTTACATCTGAAATTTTGAGATTGACTTTACTTTCATTACAGTCGTCAGAGCTCAATAAAATGATTTTGGGCAAATCGGAAAAGTTGGAGTCGCAATTTCGTCTTACGTACAATATGATCCTTAATTTGTTTCGCTTTGAGGTGTTAAACGCTACGGAAATGATTGGATGCAGTTTTTTTGAAAATGCAAATCAAAAACAGTTACCGGAGCATCAGAAGGAGTATGAGAAGGTAAGAATTGATGAAATTTGTTTATCTGATTCAATGAAACCCTAACAAACCTAATTTTAATTTTTTTCTAGGCTCAAAAAGCTCTTAGAGAATGCCAGAAACTTGATTGTGAAATATGTAAAGTGGATATAAATGTGTTTTATGATAAATCAGTAGAAATTTTGAGATTAAGACATGAGCTACCAATTTATGATTTTTTGAGAGAAGGGAGAATCGTGATCGTCAATAATATGGTATGTATGCTTTTATAATATTTTATAGTATTAGAATTTACCATCACTTTTTCACATAACATTCACATTACAGTCTTACAGAAATGTTCCGGCGGTGGTGTTGAGACGCCCAATAAAAAATGTGCTTAAGGTCATCATGTTTTTGGATAAGAATTTGTCCGAAAATAGACGAGGTAATCACATACTCTCTTTATTTGTTCACGCAAGTATATGCTTATTGATGATGTACGATAAATTCTTTCAAGACCCTGATGAGTTAGAATGCCCAGTATTTTTGCTAATTAATAAAGTCTCGGTTCCTGATCCAAGCGTGTGCATACCTGAGATCGATTCTTTGCTCTGCGACGATATTACCCGAGTGACTAAGTCTATTGTTAAAGTAAGACTATCATTAAATTCATGGTTTCCAAATTTCATCCACTTGTTTAAATTGCTTTTTCATGATAGCTGGATGTTTCGAAAATAGAACAAAAGGATCCGCTTGAAATATCAAAATTAAATCAAGAATTATTACAATATGCAGCTGAAACCCAAACGAGTAACATTCTTTTCGTTTTTGTGAATTACTTTAAAAACAAAAGTTTACTGAGTCTATGTGATTTTCTCATAAAGATGGAATTACCGAAGTTGATTCTTTAAAAAAAAAAGACTACAATTTTCAACTCGGATGGGCGAGGAAGGACAAGTTAATGAATGACCTGAAAAATCTAAAATGCCAAATTTGTCCGGACCTGAGCGAACACGTATGAAATTTGACAATTTTTTTTTTGGCTAGCGACCAACTGCTGACACCATTGCATCCCAAATAGTATCGAATCATACATAATGAACGTCACCTTAAGAGAAAAGTTGAAGACAGTCATCGTATGTTAACCAAAAACCTCGAACTTTTACCAGAATACAATCAGAGGGTCGAAGTGCTCGATAAGTTGGGTTACATTTCCAAAGATCACAATGTTACGTTGAAAGGTCGTTCCGCGTGTGAGGTAAATTCGTGTGTACCGTATTTGCTCTATTATTATTATTTTACTAAGGAGGTGTACGACGAAAACAGATTAACTCGGCCGATGAACTAGTTCTGACGGAATTAATTTTTAATAATGTTTTGAATAAATACGAGCCCTCAGAAATAGTTGCACTATTGTCATGTTTTGTGTTTCAAGAAAAGTTAAGATACAGGACGAAACCAAACTTAACTCCAAATCTGGAGGAGGTGATATGATCAAATTACCTTTTATTTGTGAATATGGAAGCACCAGTATGGAGTGATAATTCATTAGACTAACGGTTGCGTTCATTATTTAAAGGGAATAAACTTTATCTTGGAGTCTGCCGAGAAAGTTGGACAGATTCAACTTGAACATGGACTTCTTGAGGAAGCACCTGATGACACCGACGACATACCTAAAGATTTTATGACGTCTGAGAATGATAAATTATCTAACTATATTGAGAAATTCAAGCCTGATCTTGTTGAAGTCGTGTACGAATGGGCCCAGGGGAAGGTAAATAAATAACTTGACCTTTCCTCTGCCAAACTTATCGGATAGACCTAACGAAATTTATTCAGTCCTTCAAAGAGGTCAAGGACTTAACTGAAGTTATGGAAGGTTCCATTGTTCGATGTATTACGCGGTTGGATGAGACCTGCCGTGAAGTAAGAAACGTGGCTCAGATCATGGGTAATCAAACTTTGGTCAAAAAGATGGATGAGGCACGGGTGTTTATAAAACGCGATATCATATTTGTTACTAGCCTCGTAAGTATAGATTTATTGTATTATTTCTAAGAACGAAAACTAATGATAATGGATAAATAATAATTATTTTTCTCTTTTTAGTATCATCAAGACCAATCTATAGACATATAATTATATTAATTCTGTTTTTTGTTAATATACATATATACATACTATTATTATTTTTTTCCTTCATTAACTGTCTTCTAAAGTTAGTATTGAATTATTAATTATTAAGATAAAGATTTTCTTTTGAATAAATAAGTTCATCATCGATTGATAAATAATGGATCAATTGTGTTTGAAAAATTTCATGCCCAACCAGTTCCAAAAAACTGCATAGATAGTCACGGGCAGTGTGATCGGTACTAGAAGGCAATAGTATTGATCCTCCTTAATCCAATCCAAGGTCTGTTGAACAAAGAGAATCAGTGAAATCTTTAAAATCCAATCCTGAAACCAAACCGTATATACCAGGATTACCTTATTTCCCGTTTTAGGAACAAATTTGCTGACCACTATCGCATACATGCTGCTTACAAAAATACAGAAGGCAGAAAACAACAGTATCCATCCCCACAAAGCTGTGGTATCAGAATCAAGTTGGGAATTTCTAGCTGTGGTTCTTTTAATGTTATTGTTGGATGTTCCTATTATCTTATCGTCTAAAAAGTCCAGTGTGTTCAAACGATCCACGTTTAGATCAAGATCTTCGGAAACTAGGGAAATTCGTTTTTTGAAGAATTATTATTATTATTATGCTCCTTTTTTTTTTTTTTTTTAATAAAAAAGAAAATAGGAATCAAGAATATAATGAAAACCACGATCGTTGAACATATCAGTATTACTTTTATTTGAATGAGATAAAGTAAGAGGTACCGAAGAACGGTGTGGCTCGAGAAGTGGTGTAGTCGGCTGTGAGATCGTGGACGTTGAAGAAGCATTTGAAGAGGAAATTAAGGAGTTCGTGATCATTGTGTCGTCAGTTTCATAGTCGAAACCCGTAGTCGACGACAAAAGCAGATTATTTGCCATATTATGAGATATACAGTTCACTTGGAGAGAGAGAATTCGAACATTGCTTATATACGCATTTCATCTTGTGTAACATATCAAAATGTCACACCTTGGATCTGTATACTCCGGTATACTCGGTGACGATATCTTTTACGATCTAGGTTTTTGATTCATATAATAGACTATGAAGTCATACCACTTCGGAACATACAAAATACGTTCGAGCGAAATATTTATGCTCTCCAAAACTTGTTTTGGTTTCGTTAACTTGAAACCCATTCTTCCGTAAGTTCAATCCCTTCCAAGAGACCTATCAGTCTATTTATTAAGTAGCAAATTTCTTTCGTTTCTTAGCGGACGTACCCACAAAAAAACTGTTCGCGTGTTTTATTTGCAATTTCGGCGGTAACTGTTCCTTACATCAGTAAAAAAAAAAAAAAATTCCTTGCAGATGTTTTAGTATCCCCATTTCGTGTCGTACCGAGATTTGCTGACTTGACCCCCGAAGAAGTATGTATGTTAATTTCTGCATGGATGAACCCTCACCGGGATTCTAAAAATTTTATTGATTAAGGTATGCGACATGTTTCTGAGTGTTCAGAAAATTAGCAGAGTCGTTGAACGAGAATACAATGGAACATCATTAACCATATCTATGCAGGCAGGTCTCCTTTTTTTCAGTGTTTCTTCTAGTTTAGCTTCACCACCAGAAAAGGCATTAGCTAACATAAGGCATTTAAATAGGATGGTCTGGACGCTGGTCAGACGGTAATTTTACAATTAATGGCAAGACAATAATTTGAGGATTCAGCTCATTTCTTATTTCAGGTCCCGCATTGTCATGTGCATGTAATTCCGCGCAAAGTTGGTGATTACACGAACAATGACGACATTTATAAAGATATTGATAAATCAACAAGGGTAGATAATGAAGAGAGACAGCCACGAAGTTTAGATGAAATGGCAAAAGAGGCCTCATTTCTGAGACAATTCTTCGAAGTGAATAATTCCTAATATATATACGTATATATATATATATATATATAAAGAAATTAAAAAAGATTACGTTTATGTCTCCAATAATTGAAGTGTTAGCTTGCGTAATGTGAAAATTTGATAAACAATTGTTGAATACAAAGGATCTAAGTTTTAGAGCTTTGGTTATAAACGAGGATGTCATTCGCGATTGAGCCAATTATAGTACTTAAGTTGATGCTTCCGTTATTTGATTTTTAATGGAGTTATAGTTTCCCTGATATCTCCGCTTGAAGTTTGAAGCAACACATCGGACGACACAAAGTTTAGTAAATTTCCATTTCCATTAGCTGTTGTGGCCGATATTTGATCCGGGAATTGGATGGCGTTAGAAAATAATTGTCGCTAAAGATTGATAAAGAGGTTCGTGTTTTGGAGGAAGAACAATAAGTAATATGCACTGTATAAAAAAAAAAAAAATCAAAGTTGAATAATACAAACGATTTTATTATTTATTTTTATTATATAAATAAATTTTGATTTTTTGATTTTTTGTAATCAATCATGATTTTACATGCTGTACAGTATGTATTGGATATTTGAGATTATATTTATATATTAATTAGTATGATTAAAAGAATCAAAATAAAAGATAAGTCACTTGGGTTTTGACTTTTATCATATTTATTAACTATTGGTAATTTCTTTTGTTTTAATACTGTATATTAAATAAAAAAAATAAAAAATAAAAAATTCGTTTACTAAATCAAATAACTAAACTATGTTAACAACAACAATAGCAATTTTTTCAACCATTGATTTTATTATACAGTATAAATATGATAAAAGTCAATTGATTTTTTGTTAAATTTTTATAATTCGAATAAATTAAAGTTTGCTAAAAAAATTTTTTTTAAAAATATATATATATATTCAAAAATTTATTTTTATATACTGCACATAAATTTTTTTATTTGATATATATTAAATATATATATTTTTTTTAATTTAATTGTTTCAAAATTCATGTATATTTATATAAACTATATTAATATTCAATTATTTTATTAGAATAAACATGATATTAAAAACTTTTTTAAGCTTTGTTTTATTTAACTATTTTTAAATCAAAGGATATTATTGTTTCAATTAATTAAAATAGATTTTGAATTATATAATTATAAAAAATTATTTTTATTGTATAATTATAAGAAATCATTTTAAAAGTCCTATTGTTTTTTAAGGTTTTTTATTGATATTGAATAATATTAAGTTTATATACTTTTCTAATATTTTGTATATTATAGATTTTATATTTTTAAAAATTTTAATATATACAGTATAAGATAATTAAATATAAGTAAAATTATTAAATATGATAATTGATTTTTTTTATAAATGATTTATTATTATACTTGAAAAAGATTTATTAAAGTTACAAATAAATTCTTTCCCATACACAATATTTTTTTTGCCTTTCAATATCAAAAAGTCCTTTATATCTCTCTTATCTTCATTACAAGAATCTTAAGGAAACCAAAGAAGCACACTGGTGCATCAGAATAAAATTTCTGATTAAAGGAAAACAAGTTTGAAGAGCTTGTTTTTTTCTTGGATTGCATAAGGGAAGACCTATAACAGTTACTTTTTTATAAATCTTTTTTGAGATTCTTTTCATTTTCATTTCTTATTAATATATACTTCTTATTAAATAAACAAATTTTCTGCTTGGATGGTTTCTTTTTTATTCAAAAAACTAAACTCTACTTCAAAATTGCCTATGTTGTTAGTTTGGGGCACTAGCAATATTTACAATACCTACTTCTCTACATTACTCAGCATATACTGCTGCATCACAAAAAATCAAAATTCTTACTCAAAAAATTTCTCACCAAAAAATTGCAATCAACTTATTCTTGTCAATTAATTATCAATTTAAATTCAACCAATCAAATACTACCAAAATTCAAAACAAACTCGTACCACCAGTATATCATACAATAATTAACATAAACAAAATCACTTTTAGTAATAACAATTAAAACAAAATTACAAAAAAAAAAACTCTCTCTTGATTACGTCCGTTTTGTTAAAAATTTTCCTTTTATGGTAATTTTAAGCAAGAAAAAATGTTTTACACTCTTTATCGCAAGT